TTATCCATATTGATTCTCTCTGGGTTTTTTTTGGGGGGGTGCAATCTGGGGCTTGAGCCCAGAAACTGCTGAGCTACATCCCCAGCCTTTTTTATTTTATTCTGAATCAGAGTCTTGCTAAGTTGCTCAGGTCTCAAACATAGTACCTTCTTGCCTCAGTCTTTTTTTTTTTTGAGACAGGGTCTTGCTGTGTAGTTCAGGCTGGCCTTCAACTCACTGTGTAACTTCCCTCCAAAAGGATGTAGGACAGCCAGATTAAAAAATAAAACCAGAGCTGGGCATGGTGGCACAAGCCTGTGATCCCAGCACTCAGGAGGCCGAGGCAGGAGGATCACTATGAGTTTGAGGCCACCCTGAATTACAAAGTAAAACTCTGTCTCCAGAAAACCGAAAACAAAGCAAAAACCAAAAGACCAGCTCCCGCATGACTGCGAGTCCCTCTCTCTGTGGTGGTGGCCCTCGCTGTTCACGTCCACTGGTCAGTGCCTGTGTGACACAACTTTCCGCAGCGGCTCATGTCTCTGAGAAGAAACTGACTTTGCACACCCGTGGTGTAAATTCGGCCTCCAGTTATAAAGCACTTGTTATTTTTCAAGTGTGTTCTTCTTTCTTTGCACTGACTGTCCCTCACCCTGTGAGCTAAATAAGGTGAATGAATGTCATTTCTCTCCGGTTTACATTCTGAGCTGGCGACCCACGCCAGGGCCTCACGCATGCTCAGCATGTCCTCTGCCTGTGAGCTGCTCCCTGCCCGTCCTTCCCCGTAGAGATGGAGAAACAGAGGCCCTGACAGGTGGAGCCACTCGCCAAGGGTCCCCTTCAGCGAAGGGAGCTCAGCTGAGAAGAGCACAGGTGGACCTGGGTAGACCAAGTGCTGCCGGGGACCAGGGGGTCAGTGCAGGGACACACCCAGGAGGATGTTCACTGCAGGGATCATCTACGCTGTCTGAAAAGTTTCAACCAGACCTGCCAGGCTTAGGCCTTTTCAGGGCCTCCTGCAGCCGACTGGGTGTGTATGACACCTAAGTGCTTGCTGTGTTAAGCTGCTGGGCTTCTAGGTTGTTTTTTTTTTTGTCTTTTTGAGACAGGGTCTCGCTATGCAGTTCAGGCTGGCCTTGAGCTCACTTTGTAGCCCAGGCTGGCCTTGAACTCGCAATGATCCTCCTGCCTCAGCCTCCTGAGTGCTGGAATTACAGGCATGCATCACCACGCCCGGCACCGCTGAGCTTCTAGGGCTGTTCTGTTATAGGTAGTGTACTCTTCACTAATTAATGTTTTTTGTGTTCTTTTGCTGTACTGGGGACAGAACCCAGGGAGCTCTGAGATATAGCCCCTGGCCCCAGCCCTTTTTTCTATTTTGAGATGGTCTTGCTAAGTTGCCCAGGCTGACTTTGCACTTGCGACTCTCCTGCCTCAGCCTTCCCATAGCTGGGCTTATAGTCATGTGGCACCATGCCCAGCTGAATCAATTTTGTCTTTAATGGGAGAATAATTGGGCCATGGAACAGTGGCTGCTTGGCAAGCGCAAGGTTGTGAGTTTGATTCCCGGTACCAAGAAATAATTTTTAAAAATGGGAGAATAATCAAGTGGATGAGTCCTTGGCCTATTTCCTCTAGGAAACTTGCTATGGTTGCAGGGCATGGTCTCTGCCTTCTCCCCACTTTTACTGGGGTCCTTTCTTCTTCCTTCCCTCCCACGCCATTCCTTCCTTCCTTCTTTTCTGTGGTACTGGGGATGAATAGGAATCATTAGCAAATCTAGGTTCGCAATATTTAATTCTACACCTAGCACATGTACCTACACAATTAGTTTTGTTTTGTTTTACCAATACTGGGGCTGAACCCCACCTTCATACTGAATTACACCCCAGACCCTTTTTTCATTTATTTTTACTTTGCAACAAGGACTTGCTAAGTGGCTCAGGCTAGGCTTGAACTTGCAGTCCTCTTGCCTCAACTTCCCAGAGTGTTCCTATATAATTTTTTTCTTAAATTTTTGTTTGTTTGTTTTGAGGCAGGATCTTGCTATGCAGGTCAGGCTGAGCTTGAGATCATTGTGTAGCCCAGGCTGGCCTCTAACTCATGGCACTCCTCCCGCCTCAGCCACCTGAATGCTGTTACAGGCATGCGCCGCCACGCCCAGCCTTTCTTTACTTGAGAGGAGGTCTCACTATGTTATCCAGGTCCATCTCAAACTCCTGGGTCTAAACAGTCCCTTCCCAGCCTCTGGAATAGCTGGAACTACAGTCACTGGTGGTCACACACAGCTACAGTTTCTGTGACTATTTCACTTCCGAACCAGACTGGAGGCCATCATTTATAGGTGGCTCTGCCTTAGTATAAGTGTGCCACTTAGAGGTACCAGGCAGTAGCCAAGTCGCTGGGAGCCCTAGTGCCAGGCCTGGCATTTCCTCTGAAGCCAGAAATGTTGCAGACGCGCCCTCTAGTGACCGAATGGAGAAACTGTAGTTGCGCACTTCTGAACAGGGATGGGACCAACATAGTCCTTGCAGTCTGCCAGGCGTCTGGGCAGACAGTTATGCGGTGGACTTGTCATCTTTACATCTACAAGGTGGGCGCCCTCACCCCCACTTTATTTCTGAAGACAAGGAGGAGGCTCCGTGAAGTGAAGCAATTCTCTGTGCTCTCACAGTGTAAAAGGCCTCACTGAGACTCAATCCAGGTCTATCTGAGGCCACAGACTTTGTCTGCTCTGTTCGGCTGCTCCGGAGAATAGGCAAGGACAACAGCACGGGCCTCACTGTGAGCCTTAACCTTAGACCTGGGCCCCACCCAGGCCTGCTGACATGGAAGCTGTAGCCGAAGGTGATCACTGTGACAGCTAAGAAGCACCCTGACTCCCAGGAGGTAGTGGGAAAATCCTGCCATGTGCTTCCAAGAAGAAATTGATTTTACAAGTACTTTTGTCTTTTTTTCTTTTCAGTACTAGGAATGGAACCCAGAGAGGTCTGAGCTACATCCCCAGCCCTTTTTAAAATACTTTGAAGCTGGGCAGGGTGGTACATGCCTGCAATCCCAGCAAGCTGGGAGGCTGAGGCAGGAGGATTACAAGTTCAAGCCTAGCTTGGGCAAATTTGTGACTTATCAGGACCTTGACTTACAATGTTTTTTAAAAAGGGCTGAGGATGTAGCTCAGTGCAAGGGCCCTGGATTCAATCAATCCCTAGTACCAGAAAAAACCTTCCACTTTGAGACAGGGTCTTGTTAAATTGCTGTGCCTCAAATTTGAGATCCTCTTGCCTCAGGCTCTGGAATAGCTGGGATTACAGGTGTGCATCAGCACGCCTGGCTACAAGTACTTTTTTCTTTTACACTGACTCCCCTTTACCCTGTAAGGTGAATAAGGTCGGTGATCACCAAGAAACAGAGGTGAAGCTGTTTGCCCAGAGCCACCAGGCAGCGCATGCTCCTGATCTGGACGGGGTGGGGGGGGCACACTGGGTTCCGGGTCTGATGCTGGTGCTCACGTGGGGGTGGCAGGTTCCTGTGGTTGCCCTCAGGGTCAGAGGTCATTAGGTTGGCGGGGTGCCCTCTGCTCACTCGGTGATGGTGCCCGGAAGAGTGCTTTCCGGCTTCCCTCCGACGACCCGTGTGACTGACCCTGGGCGAACCATTTACCCTCTCTTCACCTTGGCCTCTGGATTTGCGAGCACCAGATGAGGGTGAAACAAGTGCGGCACGGGCGCGATGCAAGGACTCAGTGCAAGCTGCTGTTCGTTCCCTCATCTCCCAAGGGCAGAGCTCCCGGTTCCTACATGGCGCCCGGGGCTGAGGGGCCTGCTGGCTGAGGACACACTCCGGCCCCACAGCGCTTACAGTCCAATGGGAGACGCAGTGACCAAGAGCTCCCCGGGTGTGGGAGTGTCACCGTGTGGTGTCGTGACTACAGCGTATGAACTGATGAGTCTGGTTTCCTGCTCTAGAGTTCACCTTTGGCACAGATGTGAGCTTTCCTTCCTTCAGCGTGCAAGGGAAAGCCAGCCTTCAGTTCCCAGGCCCTCTAGCCAGCCACGAACCTTGGCCCAAAGGGGGAGCCGTACAAGCCGGGAGCCCAGAACCCTAGTAACTCACGTCTGCAGCCCTCCCTCTGCCAGGTAATGCTCCAGCCATGCCGGCCCCTTCTTCAAGTTTGATGGTCCCTGCTAAAGTCGGGATGTGAATGTCCTCTTAGGCCCGTGTGCTGATGGCTTGGCCCCCAGCTTGTGGAGCTCAAGGTGTGGAAACTTGAAGAGGCAGGACCCACTTGGAAGAAGTTATGTCGTTGCAGATGTTCCCTTGGAGGAGATATGATGACCCTGTTCCCTACCTATCACTTATTCTCAGCCACAGGCCCAAGGCCACAGGGCCATGCGAACTCCTGCTACCATGAGCCAAAATAAACTTTCCCTCCTTTGATTATTTCGGCTCCTTTGCTCCTAGAAAGCAAACAGCCTCAGTAGGATGCCCTCTTTTCCCTTCTTGGGACTGAACTCAGCTTACAAGTGTACGTGTGTGACTGCTTGCTCGTCATCGCCCTTCCCAGGAAGACTGGAGGCCCAGCAGGGTTTGTCCTGCTGAGTATCTTCCTGCCAGCACTGAGCCTGGGGAACAACTCTGAGGACGACAGCCGAGCTGCTCAATGCATGTCCTGGAAAAAATGGGGTGAGTGCTCAGGACTGGGGTACTCACTCCAGATTTGAGGTCGGGGAGGGGAGCATGCAGCATGAGGCCAGTCTGACGCACAGCGTGAGGGCTGGAGTCAGGGCAGGGGTAGCAGGACTGGAGACATGTTCCCGAGGCAGTGGGGAAGGTCGGGGGGACGGGGAAGGAAAGGGAGGAGTCCAGAGCCACTCCTGGGTTTCTGCTTGGTGAAGGGAGCACAGTGGTTGTCATGTGTAGGACGGGGCCACAGATGACTGACACCTATACCTTCCACCCAGCCTTCCTCCCTCCTGGCCATAGCCTGGGCTCTGTCCCCAGCATCAGACACCGGACACAGCTCAGCAGCACGAGCCCCTTTATTAACCATCTTCCCACCTCTGAACGTGTAGAAGAGAAACAAAAAATACCCGGATGGAGAGGGGAGGGGCGGGAAAGCTAGAGGCCAGGAAGGGGCTGAGGTCAGGCTCAGAGGTTAGAGTCCGGCTCCTTTCCTGGGCCAGCCCACCTCTGCACGGCGCCCCTGCCTCACCCCCGCCCCCTCCTACGCCGCACTGAAGGCTGTGGAGCTGCCAACCCGTCCTGTAGTCTTGCAGGGCCTGGTGCTGTGCCAGAGGCTGAGAGGACAGCAGAGAGGGGCTGGCCTGGGTGCGGGGAAGAGCAGGCCCCAGGAGAGATGGAGCTTATCCACCTTGGCCCCAGCCTGATCCTTTTTTTTTTGTCTTTTTGAGACAGGATTTCGCTATGCAGTTCAGGCTGGCCTCGAACTCACAGTGATCCTCCTGCCTCAGCCTCCTGAGTGCCAGATTACAGGCATGTGCCACCAAGCCCGGCCTGATTCTATTTCTTAGGTCTGACTGCCCCAGCCAGTAGGCTGCTGGCTGGGTGTGGGGGGCTTTCATTCCCACAGGGAAGGCTGAGGTAGGAGGAGCCTAGGAAACGCTGGGGTTGTCTGGGGGAAGTCTGATTCTGTACCTGGGATTTACCAACGTGAGTGGGGGCAGAAGAGGGGGCCAAAGGGGTCAAACAGCGGGACCACGGAGGGAGAGAACAGTGAAGCTCCTCACCCTGTCTGGGGCAACAATCCAGGGGTGACCTCAAGATGGCTGACAGGCAGCGGAGGCCAGACCCGACAGAGGTGGAGAGCGGAGGAAGCGGATGGGAGGGCTTCCCGACTCTCAAATAGCAAACACCTTGAGCTACACAGAGAAATGGGATGGGGTGAAGCAGCGTGGGGGTGCAGGAGGGCGGCAGCAGCCAAGTTCCAGGCTGGGAGGGAACTTTCCCTCTCTGGGTTGGCTGGGGAGCGGGGAGAGCAGCGGCGGGGAGAGGGGAAGGAACTGCTGAAAGAGAAGGTGAGGTTCACCCGGACGCCGGCCAGCCCCGCCTTTGTGGAGGGTCCCAGCCTCCTCGGTCATCCACTCTGAGCCTCTGAAAATCCGAGAAAAGCAGACTCCCCTCTGCCCGTGGGGAAAGCAACGAGGAGGACAGTATTCAGCACCACAGCACGGGCGCCCCTGGCTTCAGAGCTGGGCCGGCACCATTTGTAAACAGTAGACTTGGTGATGTCTGAGGAGGAACGCAGGGGCCCAACCTGGATTATCAGGTTTGGGAGAGGCAGGATGGGGCCCCCAAGACTTAAGGAATGTCAGCCAGCCACAGGAAAGGGGCCACCAGGCTCACTGTGGTCCAGGAGGGAGTGGACAAGCCGTATCTACCCGTCTCAGCATTTGTATGACTTCAGTGCTACCTTCGAGTTGCCAGACCCCAGGAGAGGCCACCACTGCCGTGGGGGCTGATGGACTGGCGCAGGCACCAGACCCTGGGTACTGAGCACAGCCCGTACGCAGCACAGGCTATTGTGTGAAAGACACTAGACCCTTCCACATGCTCTTTTCTCTTTTTTTGGAGAAAGCATCTCACTACATAGTTCACGCTGGCCCCGAACATGTGGCGATCCTCTTGCCTCAGCCTCCTGAATGCTGGGATTCAGACATGTGCCACCCTGCCTGACCTGAGACTCCGTCTTCACACCTGGATCTTCTGAGACTGTCTTCACCCCTGGGGTCCAGGCATAGAGAACTGAGAGTTGGGAAATGGAAGTCCCTTTATGACACGAGATAGTCTGCCACCACCCACAGCACTGCCAGGGCTGGAGGGAGCTGGGTCTGAGCAGTCCATAGGTGCAGGGCCAGATGCTGCTCCAGAACTGCCCTTAGATGTGCAGGTATCACCCTCCAGCTGGAATGACGTTGGACTTGGGGAGGCCCCACAGCTCCAAGAGGCAGGTTCCTGGGTCCAATGGCCAAGGCCATGTGCTTCTTTCGAGGCAGTGGTTATGCTAGGATATCCACAAAGATGGCATTGGTTGTGGTCTGGCCAAAGATGAAGGCTCCCAGAGTGACCAAGAAAACTCCGTAACTGACCAAGGCCCACCAGCTGCACAGTAGAGGAGAGGGGCCGGATCAGTCATCCTGCTGGTGACTGCAGACTTGTGTATATACACGCACACATCCATACTTACACCGGTGTATACTTCAGTTAAGCTCCACACCTACTTATACTATTGCTGTTGGGAGAGCATGTCTGACTTCCTAAGGACCTTTTCATAAAAAGGCGTGAGGCCTGGTGTATTGTGCCTAGTGCCAGGCAAGGAGACTGGGACCTGGTGGGGTAAACTGACCATTCACAGCATGCCAGGGATAGGATGTGGATCTTCTGCAGGGAAGATGTTTAAGAAAAACCAGACTGCACGCAAAGTGATCCATGTCATTACAAAAGAACCAAAAGGCAAACATCTGGCTTGGGGATGTAGCTCCGTAGGTGGCCTAGCACCTGCCTAGCGTGTGTGAGGTCCTGGGTTTAATCCCTAATACTAGAAAAAAAAACCCCTCAAACATCTGCAGACATATATATCAAAAACAGCAACAGCATTATCACTGGGTACTGAGATTAAGTGTTGTTTTTCTTGTCTTTATATATATCTGGGATATGTTTTAAAGTTTAAGTTTTTGTTTTGTTTTGTTTTGATTTTGAGACAAGGTCTTGCTATGTAGCTCAGCTAGCCTCAAACTAGTGATACTCCTGCCTCAGCTTCCTGAGTGCTGGGATCACATGCATGGGTCACCACATCTGGTGTGTATTTATTACATTTTCTTTAATAAAAAAGTAGTATTAAAGAATAATTGTCCTTAAGGCATGGAACCTTTTTTTTTACCTCTCCTATGAAGGGAAATGTGCACATTAAAGCAGGATGATGTTTTTCATCCCCTAGACTAACAGATTTTAAAACAGCTATTGCTTTCTTTTTTTGTTGTTTATTTTTGTTTTCTGAGACAGAGTCTTGCTATGCAGCCAAAGCTGGCCTTGAGCGCACTTAGTAGCCCAGGCTGGGCTCAAACTCAGCAATCTTCTTGCCTCTGCCTCCCAAGTGCTGGGATTACAGGTGTGTGCCACCATGCCCGGCAAAACAGCTACTGTATCTAGCACAGGAGGAGGTCTGGGGGAAAGGGCACTGTCATTCACTGTTGCTGGGACTCCTGCACTGCCTTGAAACCATGTGCCCAAGTCAAATGAACATGACCTGTGACTCACCAATTTTTTTCCCAGTATTGGGGATCGAGTCAGCTATATCCCTGGGCACTTTTTATTTTGAGACAGAGTCTTACTAAGTTTTCCAGGCTGGGCTTAAAGCCTCAACCTCAACCTTCAACCCTCAATCCTCAACCCTCATGCCTCAGCCTCCTTGAGAAGCTGGGATTACAGGCATGCGTCACTGCAAATTTTGTGCGTTTTCTTTGATTTTTGTTTTTTGTTTTTTTTTTTTGCAGTACTAAGGGATCAAACCCAGCACCTTTGTACTGAGCTACATTCCAGGGCCTTTTTCAGTTCTTTGAGATAGAGTCTTGCTAAGTCACTACTGGCCCAGGTTGGGCTGGAATTTATTGTGATCGTCTTGCCTCAGCCTCCTACAAGGCTGGGATTACAGGTGTGCACCTCCAGCCCAGCTAAGTACAGAGGCCTCTTGACTCCTACCTGTTTTAAGATCCCCTCCAGTCTCCCCCATGCCCTACACCTCCCTGAGAGGACCTTCAGCACTGGCCCTGCTTTACCTGGCTGGTTTCACCTCCTCCATCTCAGAGAGTTTGGCTTGAATGAGGCACAGCCCTGGAAGAGAAGAAGTGGCCCTGCGTCTGTAGGGCAGGGGCTCCCTCCCTCTGCCCAGCCCCCCGCCCCACTAAGAGGCAGTGGTGGCGGTGGAGAAAGGCCTAGGTTTACTCCCAAAGAGATCCCTGTCTACACTGGAGACCTGGCCTCTGCTGTCCTGCACACACCAACACTGGCCAGCACCCTTTGACTGCACAAGAGGTTCAGAACAAAAGGGACAGCACTCAGCGTGACTCAGTGGTGGTGCACACCCTGGGGCCCCTCCCAGCACACTCCTGGGCTGATGTGGACCCCTTGCTCCCAGCCTGGTGGGAAGGGCTGACCAGGAGGAGGCCTCCTGGATAGCAGAAACAAGTGAGTATGGGTGAACTCAGGGCAGACGGGACAGGACAGTGTCCTGAGGATCTGCAGCGACCCGTGTCTAGGCCTCGGGTCTCCTGACTTCTCTGTCAGGGCACCTCTGCCAGGCCCCTGCCCCTCCGGGTTGTACTGGGCAGAACCCAGTATCTATCCACCGCTCAGTGCCAGATGCAGGGGGCTACTCTCCAGGGCAGGCTTAGAGCCAGTGGGGCACGGAGGCCAGGGAGCTCGGGAGTCCATGCTATGGGGCTGTAGAACAGGGGCATCAGGCTCCGCACCTGGGAAGACGAAGATGAAGCAGGCAGCCAGGCCTCCGATGACGGCGATGACCTTGCCGATGTCAGGGATGAAGAGCGCCAGCAGCAGGGTGAGCAGGAACCACACCAGCGTCTGCAGCACGCGCCGCCGCTGCTCCCGCCCCACGTCCTCCTCCACGGACACGCCCTGGTAGCGCAGCCACAGGCCCTCGACCACCGCCCTGCGCTCAAGAGGAGGGGCTCAGGGATGCCCTAATAACGCCCTCCCCCATCTCACAGCAGCCAGATCGTACCCCAGGCCGACTGTGAGCGAGGCCCTGATTCCTGAGCCTCAGTTCCCTCTTCTGTGACCGGGGCCTAATGGCACCTGGCCTTGGCTGCTGTGGGGCTGGATGGGATGGAGGTCAGTGCTCTGCTTCATCTCATGGGAACCAGCACTATTCACCCGCTTCTAACGGAACTGTCCTGGGTTTCCGGGAGGCTAGGAGAGCATGCTCCAGCTCAGGAGCGGAGCTGGGCTCCAGACTCTTGGAGCACTCACACTGCTCAGGGCAAAGGTGCCCTCGAGGGCCCGCTTGGAGTAGGCGGCTGCCATGCTAGGCCTGGACTCTTCTATGGGCTGCAGCCTCTTCCCAGGGGTTTCACAGGAGGCCGAGGGCCGGGATGAAGGGCTGACAGGGGCTTTGAGTGGCGGGGAGGTGGGTGCCTCACCGTCCACAGAAGTGCAGGATGGGGTAGGAGGTGAGCACACTGAGGATGATGAAGGCGCGGGCAACGGCCACAGCTATGTCCTCCGAGGGGTAGGACAGGAGCACGTCGGGGTCCACAGCGGCTCCGAAAGTCAGGAAGCCGCAGATGCCTGTGGGCCAGGATAGGGGCCAGGATAGGGGCCAGGTCGGGGGCGGACAGCCAAGTCCTGCTTCATGCAGCCTCGGCACTGGAGGACGCCGAGCAGCTCTGGAGTCAGCGGGGAGCAGCGGCCAACCTCGTGCCTTCTCAGATGCCCCCTGGCTGGAGCCCCGCTTGTCCCTGCACTGTGGCCTTTGTGAACTTGAGCTTGGCCAGCGCGCTGCTGTCTCGGAGCTTCTACACTAACTCTCAGATCTGCCCCGATCCTCCTGCTGCCATCCCACCTCGCAGGTCTTGGGTCAGACGTCCCCTTCACAGACACCCTGCCCTGCCCATCCACCGTTACCCCAGCACTCACCCGCCATCCGGTTTTTGTTTTTGAACCGGGAATTGCACTCAGGACCTTGTATTTGCCAGGCAGGCACCTGTGCCCCTGAGCTCTAGCCCCAGCCCGCCATCCAGCCCCAGCCCGCCATCCAGCTTTATTCCCTTCGGAGCACTCATCTCTCTCTGAATTGTCTTTCTAGCGGGTGTAACTGCCCGCCTCCCCAGCCAGAGCACGCACCTCCCGACATGAAGTTGGGCCCCTTGCCTCTCCTGCTCCTAGCTATGGCTTCAGAGGCAGGAACAGAACCGGCCCAGGTGGCTCCTGTGCCTCCTTCCCAGGGTCCCAGTCCTGCCCCCTCCCACCTAAACCGTGCCACACAGCAGCCAGCGCCCTCTCTCCCCCAGCCGTGCCCCCTGCTTAAAACGCTTCCTCTCAGGACCCCAACGGCAGCTGGCTCCTCCCGTCACCTGCCTGGGCTCACCGCCACCTGGCCCCAACTCCCTGCACTCCAGCTACACAGAACTCCTTTCTGTCCCTGCCTCAGAAGCTCGGCACTTTAGTTCCTTGTTTGTGACGCTCCTCCCCAGCCTGTCATAGTCTGGCTCTTTTGCATCGTCCCCTGCCATTCCCAATGCCGCCTCTTCAGAGAGGAGCCCTCTGAGAAATCGCCTCCACCCGCCCCTTCCGGCTTCACTGCCAGGTCAGCACCTGCCACTGCCTGGAAATGACTGCCGTTCCTCTTTCTCTCTCGTACAACTGTGTCTTCAGGGACACTGGCACCCCCACGGAGCAGGACAAGGCCCACCCATCTCTATGGTGTCCCCACACTGAGAGCAGCTCTTGGCATTTACTGGGCACTGGTTCAGAACTGAGGACTGGATGGACAGACAAGCCTCTTCTGTCTTGGCAGAGGAGGCCCCAGGCAGCCCAAGGGTTTGAGGAGGAGTGGGAGTACCTACACCTGGGCCTTGGAGGGGGGCACTCACCTGTGCCCATGTAGACGGCCAGGGCTATGACCATGGCAGCCGTCACCACCCCGCCCCAGGTCTTCAGCTCAGGCCGCTGCATGCTGTTGAAGACGGGCACACTGCTCACGTGGCACTGTCCGGGTGAAGTTCATGGTCACGGCAGGAAAGGAACTGCACCCCCATTTCCACAGGGAGGTACCTTGGGGACAGAGGCTGCAGGGACAAGGGCAAGCCCTGGGGGCCCATTTTAACCTTCTTCCCAGGACTCCCCCGCCCTGCTTGTAGTAAGGGTTCTATTGCAGGGGACAGCAGGGACCTTGCAGCTGGCACCTGAAATCCGAAGCAGATGGTGGGCATGGCGTTGAACACTGCCATCCAGGAAGCCGGCCTGTGGACAAAATACAAATGTGTGTCGCCTGCAAAACTGAGAGCCCCCAGATGTACCCTCGTTCCTTATTATCCCACGGTGGTCTCTAGCAACCAGCCCTCTATACACTGAACACACAGTGAGCCTGAGGCTAGCGAGGAGACAGCTGCAGATTACAGTGCAGCACACAAGGCTCTGAAAGGCCTTTCTGGGACCAAAATCCAGAGTTTCTAGCTCATGGACTTTGTTTCTCTGGTATGTTCTGTTAAAAAAAAAAAAAAGTGATCCAGGAGTGGTGGCACATGCCTGTAACCCCAATACTTGGGAGGCTGACACAGGAGGATCACTGCAAATTCAAGGCCAGCCTAGGCTACATAGTGAGTTCCAGGCCGCCCTGAATTACAGCAAGACCCTATCTCAAAAGAAAAAAAAAATACAGATAAACACGTGTTGGAAAAATGTGTCAATGCTTCCTATCAATCTCCCAGCCTGGTGCCCAGTCCCACACTGGCACACTTCCTGGTTGTTGGTGGCAGAGTCTCCTCCTGCCTCTGGCTCTCACTCTCTCCTCCAGGAAGAGACCAGAACCTCTTGCCACCTTGCTGCAATAACCCACGTGCCAGCCTGAAGCCCCAACAAGCTTAAGGAAGATTTGGCAGTGTGGCATTTTGATGCCCGACCCAGCACCTCGTGGAGCCTGGATGGTGGCTTCTGCCCTATGTTTCCCAAGGGCTCTCGCCCACCTGGTGAGGATGTTGCTCGGGGTCATCTCTTTATCTGGCCAGATGTATTTGATGATGATGATGGCAGTGACGTACCAGGTGCCCACGACGCTCAGGAAGCTGTGGGAAGGAGAGACTGACTTCCTCCTCCCAGCCCCAGCTGCCCCATCTGATTTCATCCCCAGGGGTGCCCATACCCAGCTCGAGGGACCACAGAGGTCCAAAGAACACTGGGGACTATGCCAAACAGGGACTCAAGAGATGCCTGAGAAGTCAGTTTCACAGAGCCCCACCACAGCTAGGAAGGGGCTGGACAGCCAGTGCAGACCTGACTGACATTCCTGGCCATTGGGAAATACACAGATGCAATTCCATAGCTCAGAGAACTGGGCTCTGAAGCACATTTACAACTTCCATCAAAGGAGCCAAACCCTGACCTGCCAGCAGGCTATCCTCTGGGCCAGGCCTTGGAGAACTAGGAGCTGCTGAAGGTAAAGAATGAGACTGCAAATACTAAAATGCCAACGTTTCAGGGATGGTGGAGACAGCTGAGTGTGACCCTTTCCTGTAAAGACCAGAAGACAGAATAGAGCTTCGAAGCTTTTCAGACTCTAAGCTGGGAAGCTAGACTCCTTCTTCAGGCTGAGCTGCATGGAAGATGCTGGCGGGTGGATGATCTCAAAGAATCACACATCCTCTCAGGGAAAACCAAGGCCCGGGCTAGCAGGCTGCCTCACATTCCCAGGCATCACCAGTCTCTTCCTTGACAAGGACATTTAGAACAGAATCTCACTGATGCCAGTGGCTGCTGTCTTCCCTGATGGGGGCAGAAAAGGGAGGCCTTAAGCCTGGCACCCTGCAAGCCCTGCCCCACCCTGCACTGCCCACTCTTGCTCCCTGAGCGGGTGAGGGGTCTGGAGGGGAAGAGGATTTGGAGGAGAAGAGCTCCCAGCAGCCCTTGGGTCTCCAGCTGCCTATGATCAGAGCTTCAGTCTGGCCCAGGTTGGGGCGGGGCCTCCGAACCTGGCATATTTCTGGAAGCCAATCTCCCTGGGGATGGACAGGGGCAGGATGAAAAGGAAGGCGGTGACGCTGATGGTGAACTTGCGGTCTGTGTACCAGGGGCTGGCGAAGGCCCCCTCAGGCTCCTTTGCCATCACCGCTATAACTGCATAGGGAGGAAAGTGAGAATGTCATGTGGCCCACCACAGGGTGTGGCCCTCTGTTCTGCCAGGCCCCAGGACCTCCCTCTAATGGGCCCAGGAGCCTGGAGGGAGGACTTCCAGATGAAGGCCAGGTAAGTGTACAGCTTTTCCCTCCTCCCCAGGGTCCCCTTGGGCTGGAGTGGGCATGTTGGGGAGAAGCTCACTCTTGTCTTGCTGGTCCCCAATAATGATGAGGAAGGCAATGCAGGTGCCAAAGGTGTAGACAGCGATGGCCACCTCACACAGCACGCCTGTCAGCTTGCCACACACAGCCCACACCACCTCCTGGTACGTCCTCTCATTGCTGGCCTGGGAGCAGTAGGCCAGGATGACGAGGCCGCTGATGATGAAAACCAGCATGCCCTGCAGGCAAACACAGAGCAAGAGGGCACATGGAAGGCCTGGAAGCCAAGCTCGCAATTACTGGGCCAGTGCCCAACATGACTCAGGCAAATGGGTCTCATCTTGCAAGGCCGTTTTAATAAACAGCTAGATGCGCCAAGTTGAGATGTTCCCTAAACACAAAAAATCTTCAAGGAAATACTTCTCACGCAAGAGTAGAGAGAACAGTACAGGGGCCTCCCATGTGCCATTACTGCTTCAAAAATAACCAATTCATGGTCAGTCTTGTTGTCTCTTACTCCCCTCCCTCCTCTGAAGCCAATGCAAGCTACCTTATCATCTCATCAGTAAATAGCCCAGTAGTTCTACAAGAAAGGGTCTGTTTGTTAAAAAATATAACCACAAAATCCATGGAACACCTAGGAAATTATATTTGCATTAATGTTCACATCTCTCTGATGGGGAAGGCTTCTGAAACCTCACCTGGGCTCATACTAATGGGTGCTGGAACAGACGGGGAACATCTGCCCATGTGTAACAGAGAGAAGGACAGCGGTCTCTGTCCCTGCTGAGCGCGCCTGGCCCAGAGCTCCCAGAGCCAAGGGCCCACATGCACTGCATCTCTGCCGCCAGCTGGATACTCACCATCTGCAGCATGATGCCGGCCGCCACGCCCCCAGCAGTGCTGAAGGCTGCTGGGAAGTTGAGCAGTCCTGCGCCCAGGCAGGCATTGACCACGATGAAGACAGCCCCAAGCGTGGAAGTGGTGCCTCTGTCAGGGCCCCCAGGAGCGGCATCGCCCTCATTCTTGGGGGCTGTGTCCACACAAGGACTCTGCAGCAGACGAGCCCGCTCCCCAGCATCCCTGCTGGGGCCCCAATCGCTGTAGTCACTGTTGATGCTGACCTGGGCCATGGCACCGAGAGCCTCTTCCTGCAAGGGCTGTGGGCTCCGCCTCACGACCACATCCCAGGGGTGGCGGAGGGAACACTTGCCTGTCCAAGGCTGTTACTTTACACAGACTCTTTTCAGCCTAGATGGGATAAAGGCAAGTACTTCTGTTACCTGATACAGGGAGGCTGGGGCCCAGGAAGGTAAAACAACTTTGCCAAGATCTCACGGTAGCCAAGTGATTCCTGTAATCCAGCACTCTGGGAAGCTGAGGCAGGAAGACTCCCAGTTCAAGCCCAGCCTGGAAAACTTGGTGCGATCTTGTCTCAAAAAATAAAAGAGCCAGGGATGTAGCTCAGTGTAAAGGCTCTGGGTTCAATTCCCAGGAACACATTAAAAAAAAATCACATGGCTAGGATTCAATCTGGGTGCACCTCTGTGCAGAACATCGTGCGGAATGGCAGACACATAAATGTATCAGAGGCAAACCCTGCTTGTTTTAGGACCTGTAGGGAAAATAAGACCTGAACATAGAGAGAGGGTGCTAACATGTTGGCACTAGAGAGGCCCAGGGCACTTCCCTAGTCTAGACACTAGATTATGGGTGGCTTTTAACACCTTTCAAAATTCAGGCTAATTCTCACTGTTGTCCCTGATCCCTTCCATGGATGTCCTCAGGAAAATAACCGGTAATACATTTTTTTTTTTTTGAGACAGGGTCTCGCTATGCAGTTCAGGCTGGCTTTGAGCTCAATTTGTAGCCTGGGATGGTCTCAAACTCGCAACGACCCTCCTGCCTCAGCCTCCTGAGTGCTGGGATTACAGGCGTGCGCCACCACGCCTGGCTGATAATTGGCAATCTTATCTTTGAAATGCTCCCTGCCCTTCCTTGCCACCCCTTCCCAGGTCCTGTTTCTTCCTACTTCTTCAGACGCTCACTGCAGCTTTCTTGGAGCCTGTGAGGGCCTCACAATGCTCAGCCTACTTTCCTTTCAGCTTTCTTTCCTGTGCTACCATCTGGCATCAGGCCTGCTCCCTGGTGCCAGACTACAAGGCTCCTCGGCTGAATGTGTGCTCCTGTTATGACGTGCCCACCACTGTGGCAGCTATGGGATGCTGTACCTCATTTAATCTTCAGCATAGCCCTAAAAGGTGACATATGGTCACCACTTTGCCAAGAAGGAAACTGAACCCCAGGGGCATTAAGCCGGGCAGCATTTTACCTGGGATCATATAGCAATAGGTGGTGGAGCTGGGATTTGAAAAACCAAGTGAATCCTCGGGACCACACAGAAACAAACAACAACAGCAGCATCAACAGCAACAAGGGCTGGGGATTTAGCTCAGCGGCACAGCGCCTGCCTGGCAAGTGCAAGCTCGTGAGTTCAATCCCCAGTACCGGAAAAAACAAAAACAAAAACAAAACCACACACACACACACAAAAAGAAATAATAAAAAAACCACAGCAATAAAACCTTGGCTTGTCCCGCCCTAGAGCATCCGCCTGTTTGTGTTTGTCCCAGCCCTGGGCCCCAAATGGCACCGTGGATGTGTCTGAGCTCAGATACCATGCTTGCTACTTGACTGATTCTCCTCACTCTAGGCAAACACAGATGAATTGCAGTTTTTCTCTCAGCCTTGGTCCTTTCTTGAAAACCAGAAAGAAACTTCTCCTTCCCAGAATTTGAGGTGCTCTGAGGAACCCAGCCCCGAAAACTGACCCTCAGTATTTCCAAGGTTCAGCTACAGCCCAAGACTCCCAGGAGAAATGACAGTCTTAAAGAACCACGCCCAAACCCAGATCAACGGCAGCCCTGAGCAGGTACAGTCTGCCATGTGGGCCTTGGATTACACTCTGAAGTCTCACTGTGGACTCTTTCACTTCCCAGCTGTGTGACTTGGGCAAGTCACTTCACCCCTCTGAGCCTGTACATCCTAAGTTCCTGTGAGGACTGTGTTAGTATCGGCGAGGGCTGAGCACTCAATAAATGGTCATAGGGTCAGGGATGTAATTCAGTGGTAGAGCAGATGCTTAGCATGTGTGAGGCCCTGGCTTCAACTCCCAGCAACCCCTTGCCCCAAAAAGGGGTCATGGCTTTTGTTATGTTTGCAAACGGCCCTTTCCATTTTGCCTTCCCTTCACCATGCCTAAGAATCTTCAACCCTGAGCAAGCAGAGAGCAAATAATCACTGAACCGGGGCCTGGTGATAGTTGGCCTAACCATGGGCACAAAGGCACTGGGAGAGCTGATGGGAAGAGCAAGGTGAAGGCCGGTTTAGAAGGGAGGCGCTGGGCTGGGGAGGCAGGTCAGTGGTACAACATGTGCTTAGTACACAAAAACAAGGCCTTGGGTTCGATCCCCAGCATGCAATCCCCCCCAAAATGGGCAGGGCTGATGAGTAATGAGGAGCCCTGAGCAGCCTCCCAGGGGCAGCTTTTGATTAGTTACTACCTGGGCTGGCAAAATCCGCCAGATTCCTGTCCCGAGTCTCTTCCTCCCTGAGTCCTGACCTGAGGGCATTCAGACAAAACTCCTTTTATTCTGCACTTCTCTCTCTCTGACTTACGCTTTGTAGCCCATAAGGAAGAAAAAGAAACCTATCAGGTTCTGCCGAAAGGACAACCTAACCACTGTCAATCACATAGCCACTCTCCCTGCTGGGGCGGCTCCCTGGGGCTGTGCAAGAGCTACCTGGCTCCTTGGGCTGCTTCCCAGTTGCTTCTCATGATGGGAAGAACAAATCTGGAAGCTGTACCCTCTTGAGAGAGAAGGGAGAAAGTGCAGGTGCACCTGTCACCAAGCACAGAACCACGGCACGCAGCCCAGAGGGGACAGCGCTTTGTGGCGGCGGAACTCAGAAAGATCAGACCTCGCCACAGGACTTCATCCTGTTACACAGCCTTGCCCCTCCACCAGCAACTCTGCGAAAACTCCAAGCAGTGAGCAGTGAAGGTACAGGCGAGTCTCCGGACTCCCAGGATTCCCGCCTGGCTCCAGGGCGCGCTGAGACCACCCCTCCACCTGTTCTCCCGATAAGGGCGGCTGGGGGACGTGTCCAAGGTCCTAAGTCCAAAGGGGCTCCGGATCCTCCAGGGAACAGCTTTTCTTTTGGGCACCCCCACCTCAGGGCCCCACCATATAGGAGCTCAAGCTGAGGTCCTCACAGATCTGGGGGGCCGAGCTGCCCCCCCATCACCATCCCCATTACTCAGCTCCCTTGTTCCCAGCGTACTTGCTCTGTCCAGCTGCGCGGCTCTAGGAGGAAGGAGGTAGGTTCTTCTTCCCAGATGTCTTGGGTCTGGTTCTCCCCACCTCCCTCTGGGCTTGAGTCCTTTCTCAAGACTTTACCTAAAATCCGCAGTCAGCAGAGAGAAGAGTTTGGGCCGGGCTGGCTCAGCAGAGGCGGGCAGGGGAGGGGGCAGCTCCACACCAACTCAGGGAAGGAGGTGCCAGGGCAGATAGGGGAAAGGCCCAAGGAGGGAGAGAGAAGACTAACGTCACAGTGGGTCCTCGGCAGGCTCCCAGCTAGAAGCCCACGCCCTATGCCCTGGACGGAGATGTAACCATGACAGCAGCCCCCTCGGAGCCCACCCAGGGCGGGTCCCAGTGCAGCCTGGCGTTGGAGCTCTGATATACGGGGGCTGGGCTGCATGGCAAGGTGGGGCAGGAGCGGGTCGGCGCGAGGTAGCTAGCGAGGGGCTCCCGGGACTCGATCCCGGCCTAGGGCCAGGGGGACCCCGGCGCTGCACAGCCGGCGCCACGAAGGGCGGGAGTGGGCCGAGCCCGGGGTCCGCAGCCCTGCAGGAAACGGACCCGGGTTCTGCCTCGGCAGGGGGCTCCAGGGACCCTGGCACCTGACGCGTACACCCTCCCGGACCCCACCTCCTGCCACCTACCTAGTGTGCTTCATTCCCAAGCCGGCTGCGGAGACACGTGAGCACGGATCACATGACAGCCTCGTTGGGGCCAGCCGCGGGTCACCTTGGGAGTTGTAGTTTCCAGCGTCAGTCTTGGATACCCAACTTCCTGAGTCATCAGCCTGACAGCATTGTCCTGACCAAGCCTGGCCCCTAGCCAGCCCGTGTTTATTCTGCTATTTTTAAGCCTGGCCTCTTGGCCAAGCCGGACACTGCCCTCTCCTTGGAAGAGCGTTCGGAGGCTTGGCACCTTCATCAGTCTGGGGCAGTGAGCCAGAGCTATTTGGCTTCATTAACTTTCTGTTCTCTATCCTGGATTCATGTCCACCAGCTAGTGCCCCTGGAGTTTCCTTTACTGGAGACTGTAGGGGACTGCTTTCACCTCCTTGAGACACAGTCTTCCCTAAAAGAGAGAGGTCTGGCTTGAGTGCTGTTCGTGGCTACAAACTGGGGACCTTGATTCTAGAACATCTCTGAGACATTGTAGGTTCTCAGTGTCCATTTGTTGAATGAAGTAATGGGTGTCCAGAGGCCTGGTTTCTGTTCTTGGCTGTGTGTTCCTCATAACTTGTCACATTATATTGTGCATTCTAATTCCCTGTCCTGTGTGTTGATGCGCTTTTTACCACGCTGATCTCTCCACTGCAGCAGAGGTCCTCACTAGTCAGGAAATATAGGGAGTGTCTTGGAAATCCAAATCTCATTTTAAAAATTAGAAATGTCATTGAGATTGCTGTAGATTCACATGCTGTTTTGTTTTTTGACAGAGTCTTGTGATGTACAGTAGTTCAGGTTGGTCTTGAACTCACTATGAAGCCCAGGCTGGCCTGGAACTAGTGGGGGGTTCTCCTGCCCCAGCCTCCCTACTGCTGGGATTACAGGCATGTGCCCCCACAACCGGCTCAAAATTCACATGTATTTGTAAGAAATAACGCAAAGAGATCCTGTGTACAGTTTACCCAGTTTCCTCCAATGGAGATATTTTACAAAACCGTAGTACAACACTATAGCCAGGAGATGAGCACTGACACAATCTGGTGATTTTATTCAGATATACCCCGTTCTACTTGCTCTCTCTCTCTCACTGTGTGTGTGTGTGCAAGCACGCTTGCATTTGGTTCTATGAAACTTTGTTACATATGTGAAGTTTGTATCCACATAATGTGCAAGAAATCGAACATTACCATAAGGACCTTTTCTACTTTTCACACTGGATTCCCTTCTGCAAGGCCCTCCATTAAAATCACTCCTCTGCTTGCTATTTTCTAAAAATGTGTGCCTGCATTGATGCTGTCATGGAATCAGCCTGTCTTAGTCATTTCAGGTTGCTTCCCACAATACCATAAACTGAGTGGCTTAACCAACAGGAATGTGTTTGCCACAGTTCTGGAAGCTAAGAGGTCTATGGTTAGGGTAAAAGCAAGGTGAGATGTTTTCCCACTTTACAGTTGCCCAACTTTTTAGTGTGTCCTTGTGGTGGAGATTTGAGGAGAAGCAAGCTTTCCCTTGCGTTTTCTTCTATGTATTTGTTTAGGTTCTGGGATTGAACACAAAGTTTCCTAAATGCTGGGCAAGCGCTCTACTACTGAGCTACATGCACAGCCCTTCCATCTCTTCTTTATAAGGGTTCTCCTCTCCTCATGAGGGTTTCACTCTCATGACCTTGTCAACGCCCAAAGAACCAAACCCCAAATACTTCACATTGGGGATTAGAGTTTCAACCAATCAGTTTCGGGGATACACAACATTCAGTCCATAGCACATACAGTCTAACATTTTAGAATTGGGTTTTTAAAAACTCAACAGAATTCTCCAGAAACTCATCCCAGATGTGTATATGCATGTGTGTAGGTTTTATTGTCAAATAGTATTCCATAGTATATTCCATAATTTGTTTATTTCAGTGACTTGTTGAAGAACATCTTAGCTGCTTAAAGATTTAAAAAAAATAAATAATAGCTTTATTGAGATATTATTCATCTAAAATACAATCCAACCCCTTTAAAGTGCCAAATAAGGGGATTTTTTTCCTTTTTCCTTTTTTTTTTTTTTTTTTTTTTTAAACAGGGTTTTGCTATGCAGTTCAGGCTGGCCTTACACTTACTTTATAGCCCAGACTGGCCTGGAACTCGCAGCAATCCTTCTGCTTCAACCTCCCAAGTGCTGGGATTACAGGCATGTGCCACCATGCCCAGTTCAAATAAAGGGACTTTAATATCTTCAGAATTCTACAAACATTGCCACTGTGTAATATCAGAACACCCCACTCCCTGTAACCATTAGCAGCACTCCTCACCCCTCCTTCCTCCAAGACCCTGGTAACTATGAGTAGACTTTTTTGCCTATCCTTTGTTTGTTTGTTTGGAGGTGCTGAGGACTGAATTCAGGGCCTTTGCACTGAGCTACTTCCCCAGCCCTTTTTTTATTTTTAATTTTGATACAGGGTCTTACTCAGTTACCAAACTGCTAGGGCTGGGCTCAAATTTGCAATCCTTCTGCCTCAGTCTCTCAGATAGCTGCTATTACAGGTGTCCCCCCCACTGCCACATCTGGCTACATTATTCTCTTTCATTGCCAAATAATATTTCGTGATATGGCTAGGCCACATTTGTTTATTCATTTATCTGTGGATGGATATTTGTGTTGTTTCTGCTTTTTGGCTATTGTGAATGATGTTGGCATGAATGTTCATGTACAAGTGTTTGTGTGAAGTGTTTTTTCTGTTGGGTAACGCAGAAATAGAAATGATGGGTAAAACAGTAACTATATTCAGCCACTTTAGGAACTGCCAGGTGGTTTTCCAAAGCAGCCTCACCATTTATATCCCTGAGGGTTCCAGTTTCTTTACATTCACACCAATGATTTTTGTTTATCTTTGTGTGTGTGCTACTGGGAACCAAAGCCAGGGGTGCTCTACCACTGGGCCCCACGCTCAGCCCCACCACCATCATCATCATCAGGGATTGAATCCAGGGCCTGTGCACTGAGCTACATCCCCAGCCTGTTTTTATTTTTTGAGACAGGGCTCTCGTTAAATTCCCCATCAAGACTTGAATTTATTCTCATCCTGCCTCGGCCTCCCAAAATGTTGGGATTACAGATGTGCACCAGTGTGCCTGGCTTTTCTATTATTTGTATCATAGCTACCCTATTGGTATGAAGTGGTTAATCTCATTGTGGTTTATGTTTGAGTTTTCTTCATAAATAAGAACTCCAATGTCTTTTCATGTGCTTATTGGCTGTATCTTTTATCTTCTATGAAAAAAATGTCTGTTCAGATGCTTTACCACTTATTAAATGGATCTTTTTGGTACTGGGGATTGAACTCAGGGACTTTGCATGGAGCTATGTCCTCAGCCCTTTTTTTTCTTTCCTTTCCTTTCCTTTCCTTTCCTTTCCTTTCCTTTCCTTTCCTTTCCTTTTCTTTACCTTTTCTTTTCTTTTCTTTCCTTCCTTCTTTCTCTTTTTCCTGAGACAATCTCACTGAACTGCCCAGGTTGCCTCATTTGGAATTATAGGCATCTGCCACCATGCTCAGGTTGGATTTTTTAACTGATTTTTTTTCTTTTGCATCTATTGCAGATGATCATGTAGTGTTCCTACTTTATTTTTATTTATTTATTTATTTATTTTTGGTTTTTCTCCGGTACCGGGAACCGAACTCACGACCTTGTGCTTGCCA